CCGCCGCCCACGCCGGCCCGCCCAGCCCACACCCTCCCAGCCTGCCCCCGGCGAGCCCGCCACCACCCTCACCTCTGCCGCCGTCGCCGCCGCCTCCCTCGCCACCACCGCCCTCGCCGCCGCCACCCTCGCCGCCGCCCCCGTCGCCGCCGCCACCCTCGCCGCCGCCGCCCAGCCCGCCTCCGCCAAGCCCGCCACCGCCCTCGCCTCCGCAGCCACCCAGCCCGCCACCACCCAGCCCGCCGCCGCCCTCGCCTCCGCGGCCGTCGCTGCCGCCTCCCTCGCCACCACCGCCTTCGCCGCCACCCCCCTCGCCACCACCGCCCTCACCGCCGCCGCCCAGCCCGCCTCCTCCCAGCCCGGCCCCTCCGAGCCCGCCGCCACCCTCGCCTCCGCCGCCGTCGCCGCCGCCTCCCTCGCCACCACCGCCTTCGCCTCCGCCACCCTCGCCGCCGCCCCCGTCGCCGCCGCCTCCCTCACCGCCACCGCCTAGCCCGCCTGCACCGAGCCCACCGCCACCCTCCCCGCCACCCCCATCGCCGCCGCCTCCCTCGCCGCCGCCTCCCTCGCCGCCGCCACCCTCGCCGCCACCCGCCTCGCCGCCGCCACCCTCACCGACATCGCCCAGCCCGCCTCCGCCGAACCCGCCGCCACCCTCGCCTCCGCCGCCCTCGCCGCCGCCCCCCTCGCCGCCTCCGCCAAGCCCGCCGCCACCCTCACCACCGCCCCCCTCGCCGCCGCATCACTCGCCGCCGCCGCCCAGCCCGCCTCCGCCAAGCCCGCCACCTCCCTCGCCTCCGCAGCCACCCAGCCCGCCCCCGCCAAGCCCGCCACCACCCTCGCCTCCGCAGCCTCCCAGCCCGCCTCCGCCGAGCCCACCGCCACCCTCCCCGCCACCCCCATCGCCGCCGCCTCCCTCGCCACCACCGCCCTCGCCGCCGCCACCCTCGCCGCCACCCGCCTCGCCGCCGCCACCCTCATCGCCATCCGCCCAGCGCAGCCTCCGCCGAGCCCGCCGCCGCCCTCGCCTCCGCCGCCGTCGCCGCCGCCGCCCTCGCCGCCGCCACCCTCACCGCCGCCACCCTCGCCGCCGCCGCCGAGCCCGCCTCCGCCGAGTCCGCCACCGCCTTCGCCTCCGCAGCCATCTACGCCGCCTCCGGCGAGGCCGCCGACGCTCGTCACATTCGACCTCTTCGCCTCCACCGCCTGTCGCCAT